TTATATATATATATATATGTATATATATATATATAATAATGTATTATATATTCTATAACATTACTAACAATACGTGGATTTGTGGGGATATTTATGTTTAACAATTAATTAATTAATTAATTAATTAATTAATTAATTAATTAATTAATAATAAAGAAATTAATTAATTAAAGAAAAAAGAAATAAAAAAAGGAATAAAAAAGAAGAAAAGACTAACAGAGGAGAATTGCCTTGGACAAAGATGACAAGGAAAAGAACCAACACCATCAACAGCAGCATCTAATTCTTCTTCTTTTTCTTCTTTTTCTTCTTTTCCTTCTTCTTCTCCTTCTTCTCCTCCTTCTCCTTCTTCTCCTCCTTTATTTAATTCATTTATTTTATGTTTTACCTATACATAAATAAAGACAAAAGAAAGAAAGAAAAAAGAAAAAGAAAAAAGAAAATAATTAATAAGAAAGAAAAAAGAAGAAAAACGAATAATATACTGCTGTATATAAACAATATAAAATAATAAAAAAAAGCCCCAATATGTATATTTGCTCTATATATCCATACTATGCATGCATGCATGCATGCATACAATGCAGGAGTTATATATTAATAAATAGAATAAATAATAAATAAATAAATAAATAAATGTATAATAAATGTATATTTACCTTTATATGCGCCTTAAGACGATCAGGACGAGTATATGCCTATACAAACAAATACACACAAACAAATATACAACAAATATGCATGCATGCATGCATGCAAGTATATACGTTAATCATTCATGAATAAATAAATAAATAAAATAAAATAAATAAATAAATAATATACATTGTATATAATAATACATATAAAACAAGCAATAAAGCTTAGGGAGGAAATAACTGTTGCTGCTGTTGCTGTTGTTGTTGCTGTATATAACTATATATATTTATATATAAATAATAATAAATAAATAACTAGAATAAATAAAATAAATAAATAAATAAATAAAAAAGACTTACTTTACCGCATAAATGACAAAGATGTGATTTACTATTATGTATTAATCTTCTATGAGCAACAAGTGCAGAAAAAACAACAAAAGATGAATTGCATATCTTGCATATATAATCTTGACGTCCTAATCAGAAAAAGAAGAAGAAAAAAGAAAAAAAGAAAAAAAAGAATTAATTAATTAGTTAATTAATTAAGAAAATATATTTAAATCTATATATTTATATCTATATGTATTTATTCCTTTTTCTTTTTTTTTTTTTTGCTTACTTTGTGCTGCACGTTTGAGGTGTCTGTACAGCTGATCAATTGATTCAAATATTTTTGTACATCCTTCATGAGGACAAACTAATTTATTTATTTTTTCTTCTTTTTTCTTTTTTTCTTCTCCTTCTTTATCTTTTATTCCTTTTATTTCTCCTTCTTCTTCTTTATTTATTGATGTTGTTCTTTTTCCTCCTTTTTCTTTTCTTCTTCTTTCTCCTTTCTTACTATCGTCTTCCTCATCATCTTGTGACGTTTCTTCTTCTCTACTTCCTTCTTCTTCTTCTCCTTCTTCTCCTTCCCCTCTTCCTCCTCCTCCTTCTTCTCCTTCTCCTTCTCCTCCTCCTCCTCCTCCTCCTCCTCCTTCTTCTCCTTCTCCTTCTCCTCCTCCTCCTCCTCCTCCTCCTCCTCCTTTTTCTTGATTAATGTGTCTATGTAGTAGTAGTTGTTGTTGTTGTTTATTAGCAACTAAATGTAAAATCATATGACGACGTAATTGACGTTTTCTTGCAAATCCTTCCTCACATACTTCTATACACAAATAAATAAATAAATAAATAAATAAATAAATAAATAAATAAATAAATAAATATACAGCAGCAGCAACAGCAGCAACAGCAGCAGCAGCAGCAGCAGGAAACTTACGACATTTATATAGTAGCATATGTGTCTTCATATGTCTTTTTAGATGATATCTTAATACAAATGTTTTGCTGCAATGATCGCATGCAAATGTCTCTGCTGCTGCTGCTGCTGCTGTTGCTGCTGTTGCTGCTGTTGCTGCCGTTGCTGCTGATGCTGGTTGTGTGTCTCCTGCTGCTGCTGCTGCTGCTGCTGCTGCTGTATCTGTTTGTCTATGCCTTAATAAGATATGTCTTTGTAGATGTTCGCTTCTCTTGAATGCCGACTCGCATAGCTCACATTTATAATTACGCTGTACATACACCACAAATCATACACTATTTACTGCTGCTGCTGCAGTTGCTGCTGCTGCTGCTGCTGTTGCTGCTGATGCTTGTGCTGCTGTTGGGGTGTTAGAAAGGAAGAGGAATTGTGGTATAGTATACGGTGTATATGTGTATGGTTATAATAACATATACACATGTATAAAAAATATAAATTATATACACATTGTATATTATAAATATATACATATATTATATTTATATGTATATATATTATATATATTATATATACATTTATATATAAATATAATTAATTAATTAATTTATTTATTTATTTATATTTACCTCTTGTGAGTGGGAAAGTTGATGACGATCAAGACAGGCTTTCTTACGAAATGTTTTATAACATCCTTCTGCTGTACACTGCAACAATACAACTTCTTTCCTCTTCTGCTGCTGCGGTGTAGGACCTGCTGCTGCTGCTGCTGTTGCTGCTGCTGCTGTTGTTGCTGCTGCTGCTGTTGATGATAATGATGATGATGGTGTTGCTGCTGCTAGGTGGCAACTGTCTAGGGAAGGAGTTAAAGGGAGGGGAAGAGGAGAAGAAGAAGCCGCTGCTGTCACAAGATCTTCTTCTTCTTCTTTTGCAGAATCCGATTCATCTCCTAGAGAGGAGCAGTCGCTATGCTGGCGGCTGCTTGTCATTTTGTAACAATTAGGAGGAGAAAAGGGGAGAGAAAAAGAAATAAATTAAATTTATTTCATCATTTTAATTGTTTTTTCCCTTTTATAAATATAAAACAAAAGGAAAATCCATCAGTTAATCAGATCAAACTCAAGACCGTTGTTTGTTACACCGTACCCACTGGCTGTTCCTTGGGGCCCCAGAGAAGCCTTCTATGGTACCAAGAAGAAGAAAGGACGAACATTAGAGGAAAAAACTTCTAAATAGTATTGAACTAATAAAATTAATAAATAAATAAACAAATTTCACGAATTTTTATAAAAAATTAACTGCATTTTTATGTTGTATTCCTGCTGCTGTTATCATCCGATGCTGTCATCGTGTTAGTCTACTTGAGGTGTACATACACCTCAAACTTGAACTGCTGCCGACTATAGCAAATAAGGAAAATTCTTCCTAATTATATTCAATTAATCGTATATTTCTGTTCCTTTTTTCGTATTAATGTGCATATTCTGTAGATAACTCTTTATTATAAGCTACAACTTGCTTACCTCCTACTGTACACACCTTATGATGGTACTATTTACTGTCCCTACTAAGAAGACTGTATACACTAGCAACCCTTACTCATAAATGCTTAACTAGAAGATATTCTCCTTTTTGTTTAATAACAACTTCATCTTCTAATAAACTCCTACAACTGCATCCATGACTAAATGCATGCATGACTAAATGCATGCATGCATCTAATTAATTAGATATATATGTAGAGGGAGAGAGGATCAATATAGCGCATGAAGGAAATAAAGAGAAAAGGAGGATTAAAAGAAGAAGAGTTCTTTTTATAATCCTATAAATAATGTTTCTCTTTGAATAGGCGACTGCTGCAGCAGCAAATTGCCTAATTTGCTGCTGCTGCAACAAATTGTCTATTTGCTGCTGCTGCTCATTGCCTCGCTGCGTCGCCAACTAGCTAACAGACAAGTGTATATGTATATTATATGCATGTACGTACGTATGTATTTACGTATATATATTTCCTCATATATTTTTTATAATAAACAAATTAAACTAATATATTATTTAATTTGTTTATTTATTTATTTATTTATTTATTTATTTATTTATATATTTATTACCTGCAAAAAGTCCTCTAATAATGAATCCGCTGCGTGCTGCCCTTTCTTTCCTTTTCCCTTATCCTTAATTATATATATGTATGCATGCAAGCATTTATTTTCTTTATTTCTTTATTATATATATTTATTAATATATAGATTTATATATTTATATATATTTATTTATTTATTGTTCTGCTGCAATAGCTGCAGCTTGTTCATGTGCTTCTTGAATAACAGTAGGTATCCTTTCTGGTGCACTTCCTGCTGCAGTTGCTGCTGCTGCTGCTGCTGCTGCTGCAGTTGTTGCTGCTGCAGCATTAGCTTCAGTATTAGCTGCTGCAGCAATTTCTGCCTCAATTTCTTGTACAGTTCTTTGATGTAATGGTCTCCATATATATCGTGTATATACACCATCTTTTCTTAATGGGTGTCCTCTATGGTTACTCCCCTCTACTGCCTTATCTATAAATTCTCTCCTCTCCCTCTCCTCTACATATAAACGTTTTTCTGCTAATTTATTCAAATTCTTTGATGCTTTTGTTGTTTCTCTTAATCTATCACAAGGTAGATGAGTACCATCACGTAAATTTACCTAAGAAAAAAAGGACAACAAAAAAAAAATACATATATTTATATATATTTATCTAGTGTTATCTTATTTATATGCTTATTTATATTATTAATAGATTCTATGCTCTCTTAGGGTTTAGGGTTTAGGGTTTAGGGTTTAAGGTTTAGCTATATTATTGTATATCATATCTCTGTGTATATAAACAATAACTATAGCAAATAACCACTTTTTGTGTTCCTTTTATTACTAAATAAATAAATATATAAATATAATTATAATATATTATAAATAAATAAATAAATAAATAAATAAATAAAATAGATTCATACCTGTGAATGCATCATAACTAAGTCAATATTTCCTATATGAGATAAGAAAGGAGTAGTCCAATAATAATAATCAACATTTGATCCTTCGGGTAAACATTCATTTTCTTCATCACCACGAATTGTTCCTTGATAAAAGTCTTGGTACCTATATATACATATATATATATATATATATATATATATATATA